TGGTAGAGGAAAAGATGATTGTGATGGCACTGGTGATCCACATGTCAACCTTGTATGACCACTTTCCTTGCACCGACTACATGTCGATCTCTTCTTCTCTTCACCCTTAGACAGTATACGATCATGACTTTTTGGTCGGCTAGGTATCCTTCTGTCCATGGCTGGTGGCAAAACTGTTTGTAAGTCATCTGGTATGTCCCACTCAGAAGGATGTGGAATAGGGTAGACAATCTCTCCATAAGTCTGTCGATATACTTCTGTAGTGTAGCAATCCATAGTGTATGCGCTTGAATCATCTTGGTTTAGATGAAGAGAAACTTTTATAACATGGCCACACGGATAACCAGATGTTTGCCATTTCATACAACTACACGTCTTTGCATTTAGATCGACAAGCCCATTTAAGTTATTATCCAGTACTTCAAACAAAGTGTTTGAACATGGTTCAACTCTCCATGACGTTGACTTCACAACACGTTTCGTTATCTTTTTTTTCTGTCCATGGTGTAACACGATGTTCCAATATTCCTGTAAATTTAAATAAATAATAGTTAGTAATATATATGATAAGTTACAAATTTAAAGAAATAATACCTGCATGGTTTCTTTTCTTGTAGTACCACTGTTGAATAGAGGCTCGAAAAAACTCCATTAACATAGTAATGGGTAATTTCCGGGAATGACGACTTAGAGCGTTGATTGATTCTGCACTATTAGACGTCATGAAACCATATCTTGCTCCAAGTTGATGTACTCTTGACCATCTTTCAAACCCGACATCTTCTAGTGTTTGAGCACACTGAGGCAAAACACGTCTTAAACAGTTTATATGCTTATTAAAATCCACTTCCCGATAAGCTTTTACAGCCTTCCAGTATATCCATTTTGTGATTTTTTATACCAGCAGACCTTGATTTTAGATTTCTATACAAATGAACACCACAAAGTCCATGAAAAGCATCTGGGAAACACCTTCTAACAGCGTTGTCAATTGAGTTTGCCCTATCGGATATGATTGTCAGATTGCTAATAGGACCTATGTAATCCCTAAGATGCCCCATAAACCATATCAATGAATCAGAGGTTTCAGATTTGCCAACCCAGTAAGCTATTGGCAGTATCCCATTGTTAGCATCCATGGCTACTGCTAATAAGTTTACTCCAAAGTATCGACCTTTTAAATGTGCTCTGTCAACTATAATAACTGGGCGCATGCAATTAATAAACGAACGAATATACAAAATCATATACACAAGAAATATAATCATTTAAATGTGAAATGCATGTAACTAACAAAAATGAGTCAACAAAATTATATTGATTTACTAACCGCAACACCAATGGCAATAAACAGCAACTCAAAGCGTCCATCTCTATCTGTTTTGATATGAGTTACCGACCCAGGATTTTTCAGCTTTAAATTGTGACAATAAGCCGGCAGTTGGGCAAACGATGCTTCTGGCGACCTCCTCAACAATTCCAAGGCAAAACATTTGGCTCTCCAAGCTTGAGAATATGAGATACTAATCTTGAACCGAGCATTCATGTCAGTCATAATTTCATGTCCCCGATATACCCTACCATTCAAAAACATTAACTCAGCCAGAAAACCACCCAACACCTTTTTGTTTGCCTTTCTATGGTGAGGAAAAACTTGGGTTCTTGAACATGTATGTTTATCAATAAAAGTCCTAACTTGAAACATTTCGCAATCTTTTATCCTCTTTGCAATCATGCGCTACATACAGTTTTTGTCAATCATACACCTTGTTTTGAAACGATATTTGCTTGATTTGTTAACTTTTAGTTGATAGCCATCTTCCACACATTTCGTATACAAAGCTATCTTCAAGTCTTCCTTTGTATCAAAACAATCATCTTTCTTGATACGAATAATTTTTGTGTAACAATCAACTGCTATCTTTACCAACTCTTCTTCCGGCATCTGAAGTAATTCTGCATATTCCAGTTATACTCCCGTGGCATTTTCTTCGGGGACTTTTCTTTGGGGATTTCTTCTTCTTCTTTTTCTTCTTCAGTGTTATATGAATTACATAATGGATGTTCAACATGTTCATTTACAGTCGTAACTTCCTCCTCATTATCATCAACAACATCTTCCTCGGCAACGGTTGTTTCATCATCAAAATTCGGGTATTGACCAATATCAAAATCATTACACGCAGGGTCTGTTTATTCTTCTGAAAAATCATCAAAATCTGAGTATTGACCAAGATAAAATTTCGAATACTAACTAGTACTCACAATATTTTCTGTTGGCTCATCATTGTCTAACTGGTCAATACGAAAACCAGAATTTGGTACTGAAAGTTGATTGGGATTTGGATTAGGGAAAGGTTGTGGGTTTTGAGATTGTGTTTGGTATTGGAAATGTGGTGAAACAATATTTGCTTGGTGATGAAATTGTGGTGGAACCATTAAATTTTGAGCACCATAAACTGGGGTTAAAAAACTTAGTTGATTACTACCCGCTACTGACCCAACTTCACTACTTCTAGGTTCAACAACATACAATGTAACATCATCACTTGAAACACTAATGTAAGAAATGAATCGTTTAACATCTTCATTGTTGGTTAACAAATAAACTTTACCATTTCTCTGATAAGATAGCCTAAATCCACTTAGGGGCTCTAAATTCAATTTATTTGCAACACGTAACATTAGAGTTTCATAAGTTAACTTTTTTAATGACAGTTTTAGTTGAAGATTCATGGGTAAAGGCATATATTTTAAAACACCATGAACATTCTCCCATGACCCTCCAAAACACAAATCTATCCAAACATGATGATTAACATTAGATGATTTCATTATTGTAAATTAATTTACTAAATAAACGAGCTGCGAAACTAAAACCTGTTTCCGGATGGGGAAGGATGTCGTTGGATATAGGAACGGATGTCGCCTGAGAGAGTGATAGATGGAGATGGAATGAGTTGTGATTTAGGGATTTAGGTTATGAGTTGCTGCTGCTGCGTAGTTATATACCCAAAACATTTGTGTTACGAAATTAAAACCTGTTGTGAATTCAGAAATCGAGTTGCGAATTTGAAATTCAGTATTGCGATAGTCAGAATCTCGTTGTGATTTACAGATTCGCATTGCGATTTACGTATTCGCATTGCAATTTACGTAATCGCATTGCGATTTACGTATTCGCATTGCGATTTACGTATTCGCATTGCGATTTACGTAATCGCATTGCGATTTACGTATTCGCATTGCGATTTACGTATTCGCATTGCGATTTACTTATTCGCATTGCGATTTTCCAAATTCGCGTTGCGATTTACGTATTCGCATTGCGAATTAGGAAAATCGCAACGCGAATTTGGGAAATCGCAATACGATAGTCAGAATCGCGTTGCGAATATGGAAACTGATTTGCGATACCGGAGATCGCGTTGCGAATTATCGATCGCATTGCGATTTAGTTGGTCATTTTGGCAAATCCAAAAAAAGTTGGTTAAAATCGTATATTATAAGGCATTTTTGGTCACTGAGGTTATTTTCTCTTAAAAAATACTAACTTAAAAATAATTTTTTTACCACTAATAAGAAATTTAAAACTCAAATAGTTGGAGAATTTGAGTTATATAAGAGAGGAGAAGATAATTTTGGTGTGAAAAATAAGGGGGGTTAAGGGGGTTTATATAAGGGAGGAGGAGGGGCAGTTGGGGGAAAAACGGATGGGCATTTATAGCATTTAATGAAAGGCGCGTCCCCGGGGATGTGTCTTACCCCCTTGGCATCCGACTCAGCAGAACCCCGTGAAAGTGCGTCCCCGGGGATGCGTCTTACACATGTGGCATCCCAGTCAGCATAAACCCAGGTAAAGCGCGTCCCCAGGGATGCGCCTTTATGCCACCTCAGCCGAAAGGGTGCTACTTCGGGAAATATTGGTCAAAGGGTGTTAGAGAGGGAATATTATGGTGAAAAGGTGTCAGTTTAGTCAAATCGTCGCAATTTGGTGCAGACTAATATGAAGTCAGTTGGTGTATGAATCTGGATCCTCAGAGTCAGTGACGGAGCCATGTAGACCCCAGAGGGCCCCCCAAAGTTTTTTACCATTTTAAAAAATAGGTATAATTACCAATTTAAATCTTTAAATTTTGATTTATTTTGATTTTTTATTGTTAATCATACTTTGCCTCACCTGAACTAAAATATTGGCTCCGTCCCTGCTCAGAGTTAGAGGTGCATGGATATGTACAAGACTAGATCGAGGGTGTTGTGTGTTCTTATCTCTAAAAATATTAAATTTTCATATAGTTTAATTAATTTCTTTGTATTAAAATTCATTGATGATCTAATTTTACAAATTTCAATATAAATTCTTAAATTTGCACCCCAAACATAAATTTGCGTCCATCCGTATGTATACGTATCAAGTAATGCCAAACTTTATTTATTTATTTTTGAATAAAAGGGGATGCCAGACTTGATATACTACAAAGGAACTCTATGAACCATAAGAATATCTTTGCTTATTTTTATCTGATATCAAACAAAGTACAATCCAGTGTTATTTACATCTTCTCATCCTAATATTTAAACAGTAATTGCATTGTTTTCTGATATATATATATATATATATATATATATATATAGCCTGAGCAGGTTTTACTTGGTTATTCTAAGGAGAAGAATAAAGAAACTTTCTTTTTTCACTTGCATCATATCATTGGCAGAATAATATAAACCAAGAAAAGGACATTGGATTGATAGCATACGTATATTATTGACTGTCAATACACCTGTTTTTTTTTTTTACTGATTCTCTTGCATTTCTTCTTCTTCTTCTTCTTCTTGGTCCTCCAACAATTCTTGTGGTTCCAAAGGAAACAAATCACTAAAATTCTACAAATTCTCTTTCCAAGGTTTCTACACGCCGACTGATATCATATAGGCCACATCTCCCCACTGCCTATAAAACCAGCCATTGCCAACTCTTTTGCTCATACCATCCCCTTTGTAGCTTGTGCAGTCCATTGATTAATTAACATAATGGCATCAAGCTCAATGTCCTCCCGTGGGTCCGGTTCATGGACTGCCAAGCAGAACAAAGACTTCGAAAGGGCGTTGGCAGTATACGACAAGGACACCCCCGACCGTTGGTACAATGTCGCCAAGGCGGTCGGAGGGAAAACTGCCGACGAAGTCAAGAGGCACTACGAGCTGCTCGAGGCTGATGTCAAGTACATCGAGTCCGGCCAAGTTCCATTCCCCTATAGGTCCTCTGCCAATTAGCCCAAGGTAACTAATTATATGTCCTACAATGTAAACCAGTATATTCCTACATGAGGACCCATTTACATAGTTTTTAACAATATATGCTCAAAGGGGCTCCATTTACTTACCAACTTTCTGGTTTTTTTCCCTCTCATGTGAAGCACTGTTTCACATTGCTGAAATTGCAGCATCTTCCATTATTTTAACCTTAGTTTTGATATGCAGGATGGGTTTGCATCTCAGCTACAATAAAGATGATGATCTGCTACTAGTATTAATTTATGGAAGAATATGCCATTAATGATTATCTTCTAAGTTTTGTTGTGCTCTTATAGTTTATGTTGTACGAGGAAAGTGGAACATAATTGTGATACTTGCTTCCTCCCTGTGTGTTGTGAAACTATTTATTAATACAAGTACACGACCAGAATCGTGATCTTCATAACTAAAAGATGAACTCAACTCGTTTGCCAGGAAGAAATCCCAACATCTTTTGATTTAAATTCCAAGAATCTGCCATCTTTCTTATTCTGGAATTTATTCTATATTACCAACCTTTAATAGATAATGCAAATCATCAGATTCCCTAAAGTGTAACTTTGATCGTTTTCATTGTTCAAGAATCAATATCATGTCGTTGATGCTAAAATTTGGGGTTCAGTCTTTGTTTAAATAAAACGGAACTGATTCGAATTATTGATTGGAAAATAATAAAAATTAAAAAAAGGGATTAAGATCTAGATGATTAGTGGACAAGATTAAGCATGGATAGTGCAAATGAATTGAGCATGCAAGTAGGGCGACAGCATCTGCTTCTTTTAGATGCTGAGGTTTAGGATAATTAATGAACCTAATTAAGTCATGTTTAAGCAATGATGATGAGCTGAGGTGCACAAATAGGTAGGTATGTGTATGTCTGGTGAACAACCCTCTCTCTCAGTATGCGGGATGAACCCCCCTCTCCTCTTTTATCTTTCTTCCCTCTCTTACTCCGTTTCTCTCCTCTTCCATCCGACCTTGCCATAATTAAATTATGTTATTTTGTTCGATCTTTTTCTCATCATATGAAAATAATCAATATTTTTCCTTGACATTTCATCATTAGATATAAAGTCGTTTTATATAATCTTGACTTATTTGGTTGAGAATTTAATCATTTTTTATATAATCTTATTGATTAATTTGTACATTTTGATAATTAAAATAAATAATTGATTAATTAGATTTAATCTACCCTGAATTTATAATTTTATTATATTTCACATTGTTCAGTAGTAAACATATAAAAAATTTTATAGGATGAGAAGGTCTAAAACAATTTGGACACAACAGAAGGGGACTATGAAGGCCAGCTTTATGGACCCAATATTGAAGACATTCAATATATGTGCGCCTGTATCAATAGGCCATATAATAATACATAGGTACTGACACAAAATAATTAATCAGTGTTAGGATTTATAGTACTGTAATGCATATCTTCATTTATCTTGTTACCTATATATTAATATTTTAAAATTATTAGAATTAAAACGGATTAACACTCCCGATCTCCTTAATTAGAACAATTTATTACTGTAATGTGTTCAGTTTACATAAAGATAAATAAAATATAAAAAATTTAGTATCAGTATATCATAAGATCATTACGAGATGTTAAATTTATTTAAGATTCAAATTATAATGTTCTAAATAAGAAAAATGAAAAAGATAATGAACATCAATCATAATAAATCAGCTCATAAACCTCCATTGGTAAGGCACGTCGCATACCTTTGAAGTGAGATTATACAGAGGACCGTAAAAGATAAAATAAAATAGCTGAAATTAACTGCATATAAAACTAGAGAATAAAGTAGACTCATCATAATGTAATTAACTGCATATAAAATGCTATGATACCAATGAAATATACCCTTCACTAGCACATTCAAAGCGCCCCTGATTATGGCATAAGAGGACCAGTTTTACATCCTCTCCCATATTGTAATTCTACTTCTTAATGTATGTATATATAACATTCAAAACTGCATGTTGCTAAAACCCCTTTCATTCGACTTTGTGAAAAATAATAATTATACATCATGCTTAAAAACATTAAATAGCTCAAACGAAGTTGCACTACAAGATTTCCAAGGATCAGATTTCAGCATTAGGTTATTGGGTTTTCAGTCCAAATAAGGACTTCGGAGCCATGGGAGGAAGTTTCATTGCCTCTGGTGCCATGAAGCTGACTATCTTCTCATGAACATGGTACCTGCAAGTGTGTTATTTAAAGACAAAATGTCCAACCTTAGATTAACCTGACTCATTACAAGGTGCCGATCCAATCACATTCAAAAAACTTACCTGATCTTTCGACTTTTTGATGCACGACGATCAACTATTTTTCTCTTCTTAGTTTGCAGTCTTTTTAAGGCATAGAAGGCTGTCTCTGTGGTCAAGCAGTAGTAACGTTGTTTTAAGTAAAAGTAAAATATTCTTCATAATGCAAGAAAATTTTAAGAGATGATAGAGAACATTTACCCGATGATGTTGGGTCAACGGTCTCAAAAAATTCTTAAGCAACTGCTGGTAAAATTCAGAATCATCCAGAAGTTCGGGATCACCTTCGGGATGTGCTTCCTGAGCATACAAATGATTCAAAGATAAAAAAAATTGACAGGAGAAGAGAACATGTATTGATAACAAAAGCAATATCATTTTACTTTGGGTAAATACTGACTATCACTCCTCACAAGTCACAACTTCACCATCAGCAACTTTACTTTCCTCATAAGTTTTATCCGAACACGACCTTAAAAACAAGCTTCTCTTTGTATCATATAGGTGTAATGGTGTATACCTATCCAACTACCCTGAATTTTAAATGGTATGGACAAAAATTCCATCCTCCAAAGCAAACACATATAGCCTACCATGCATTCTACATGGTATGTCAGTGCAGCCAGTACCTAGCGTTGAATACAAACACCACGTCATTTTTTAAAGCCCAGAGTAAATAAAGAGAAACGCATTACTCCCCATTAGCATTACTACCGGACTCGATAACCTGTCCAATAAAGGTGGTGGTAAATAATAGAAGCAGAAACATGAAAAAGAAAAATCATAGTGCAGAAGGCACACCAGAGCTATGTCCAATGTTTTACGTAAATTCAGAACCCTCAAACAAGATATAGAAACGTACAGCTCCAAATATGCCAATTGTTGTTCTTTGTTGCATTTGCTTTATCGTTCTAGTTGGATCCCTCATATAGGCTGCCACTTGTTCACTAATGTTCTGGCATAGGAAAAGAACCAAGCAAATTTCATTTTACAACCAATAGGGCATGGATTTAATATAAGTGAGTCAGTGTCAGCTAAGGATCAAACCTGATTAAAAGCTTGCAATTTGTTTTTTATTGCAGCAGCACCAGTTGTGACTTCTGTCTTCCTCTGCCATTTGTCAACTGCTTTATCTCTGAAAGCAGCTATTCTGCAGGATTCAAGCATTAAAAATTGTCAGTTACCTTAAATGCTCACATGAAGAAATATTATTTGAACCAGGAGAGTATCAAGTATAAAAAGAAGACACTGAATTTGGAAGAAAAAGGATAACACAAATACATGACGAAGCTAATGAAAATCATAAAAACAATAGGTGAATGTTCATTAAAGCACCGGTAAACACTCCAAGAAAAAAAACAATTTGAAGAGACCTATACTCTTTAAGCTTAGCATCTCTGGCAATGTTAATCTAAAGTTGTCCAATCAGGAATCGAAGACTTGGAATCAGAATCAAACTAGAGCATGGTAGAATAGTACTGGTAAACACCCCAAGAAAAACAATTAAGAAATATGGTGTTGTATGAAGAATGGAAACAAGAAAAGTCACTAAAATGACCACCTCAATCCTTCTACAAGAATCAATTTAGCCAATTAATACTGTAATATGAATATTTCTAATTGAACACAGAATATCAATCAAATTGAGCAACACAGAAATGGTGAAGTAATCCAGAATTTGCTAGAGCTACCTCTTAATCATCTGGGAAATCTGTAGCCACTCTTCATCATCTTCCATGTCCAAGTTCTTAGAATCTCCAGAAAGCTTCTCAGATGGTTGAGCACCATTACCTTAAGAGTAGGACACAGAGAGCATTGCCAAGATACATAATGTGGAGGACAAATAATTTGTCTGATTTTTAAATGTTTATGAAAGAGAAAATCGCCTCAGTGACCAAAAATGCCTTATAATATACGATTTTAACCAACTTTTTCCGGATTTGCCAAAATGACCAACAAAATCGCAATGCGATCGCTAATTCGCAACGCGATCTCCATTATCGCAAATTCGCGTTGCATTTCGCGTTGCGATAGTTGGAAATCGCGTTACGATGGTCTACAGTGTCGTTGCGATTTTTCTCAATTCGCAATTCGAATAAGTAAATCGCAACGCGAATTGGGAAAATCGCAATGCGATACTTACTATCGCAATGCGATAATACAAAATCGCAACGAGATACTGACTTTCGCAACGTGATTCTGACTTTCGCAACGCGATTTACATAGCGCCATTCGTATTAACGCGTATTTTTTTTTTCAAATTCCAAACACGAATTTTTTCTTAATAAATCGGAAACTGAACCGTCCACAGTAATCGCAACTCATAACCTCAAACTCAAAATCACAACACTCAGTCCCATCTCCATCTCTCACTCTCTACGGCGAAATCCGTCCCCATCTCCGAAGATTTCCGTCCCCATCGCCGGCGAAATCCCTCACAACCATTCACAGTCAAAAATCCCTCACAATCATTCAGAAATGGAAAATCAACCGCCGAGGGTTAGTTTTTTTTATTTTTATTTTGAAATTTTTGCATTATTTTAGGTTTTTCATATTGAGATTGATGATAAGTTTAGCGGTAATTTCAATAATAGATTAACCATTTCACTTCGATTTCTTATTAAATTCATTCGATTGCTGCCAATACTGCTAAACTGTTTAGCCTGTGAAGTTAGTATTTGTCTTTGTTTTGTCTTTTGGTTGAAGTAATGCAGAAGAAGAATAGTTTCGAGAATGAAAATCGCAACGCGGAAATAACTATCGCAACGAGAGAATCGCAACGCGAAATAAAAATCGCAACGCGAAACCAAAATCGCATTGCGATTTTCATTTCGTGTTGCGATTTTCATTTCGTGTTGCGATTTTCATTTCGCGTTGCGATTCTCTCGTCACGATAGTCATTTCGCCTTGCGATTCTCTCGTTGCAGTAGTCATTTCCGCGTTGTGATTCTCATTATCTCGTTGCGATTTTCATTTCAACCAAAAGACAAAACAGTGTTGCAAATTTTAATTTCAAGAATAAACTACTATTTATGTTTATTGTTTTTGGTATATCTTGACAGTGTAGTTTTTGGTATATCTAACTTGGTATGTTTATTGTTTTTGTAGAAATTTTTTTCGGCTTCATTGACATTAAGGAATAAAGTTAGCCTAGCCACTACAATTGCTTCGAAGTTTTCACCTGCACAAAGAAAATTGTTTGAAGAAACCTGCTTCGGGCCATGTCTGAGAGTACAGCATCCGGGTGGAGATGCTAATTTGACCCATTTGTGGCTTCTGACCATGACTAGCGATCTACCCGATAGTATACAACGTGGTGAGGAAGAGATATGGTTTCATTTTCCACCGGCGTATAATTGTTTTGGGCGGAAGGAGTTCTGCTTAATCACTGGTCTACAATTCGGACACGATGATGTAGGCCGGTACACTTGTCATATCACCCGTCCATCATGGTTATCCAGGGTTTTTCCTGATGAGTCAATAGAGAAGCCGAACTTACACGTCGACGACATGAATAAATTATTTAATAAGAAAGATGGTTTTACTCGGATGAATGACGTCGATGTTGTCCGAGTATGCCTTCTACTACTTTTGTATGCCGGCTTTTTAGGCAGAGAGGCCAGACAACCTATTCCTCAGGAGCTAATATTATTGGTAGAGGACCTAAATGCATGGAATATGTTTCCGTGGGGTTCGTATATATGGAAAGCTACCTGGACTAAGTTGTCGTTTGCCTTTGATGACCGCAAAAGTTTGCGGGGCGATGGGTCGAAATACACTTTGTCAGGCTTTGTTTGGGCCTTTAAGGTAAGAATTTCTATATAATGTTTTCAAAATTATAATGAATTATTTAACAATTACTAATGTTTGTTATTATATTGTTTGTAGATTTGGATATTCGAGGCCTTTCCCGCCATGAAGACATATGCAATAAAAACTTCAAATGATATTCCCAGGGCTATTTCCTGGAAGAGGAAACGTATGTTGGATTGGGAAGACTTAATACCATATGCGACAATAAATAATGTAAGTTAACACAAATATTATCATATATAAACAAGTTATTAATAGTAGACGTTTAACTTTGTTTGAGTTTTTATATTTTAGGAGGCAACATTCCATTAATTAGACTGACACCCACGGAGGCTGAGCTTGTCACTGATTGGTGGCAAGCTAGTCAGCGTTTTCTTGATGGCACGAATGATGAGCAGCCTTCACTTCCTCCACTTCGAGAGCCATCACCTCACCCAGAGCCATCACCTGATCGACCCGACTATACACCTCTACAACGAGAGCCATCACCTATCCCGTCACATCATCGAGCCTCTTCTCCACCATCACCTCATGATAGGCGACCGGCAAAGATGCCACGACTTCTATCTCTCTGTTCTCCACCTCCACGGGATGAGTCAAGGGAGTTACGTGATGAGGTCAATGCATTGCGTGAGGAGATCGGTACTCTACTCGATAACGATGGTGCATGGCGTGTGGAGGTGTCTACTTTACGTGGTGAGGTTGCCGCTCTACGTGAGATGGTAGTATCGTTGCAGAATGAGGTTCATACTCTATGCAACGAGGTAAGTTTAAGATTTTCCATATTTAACTTGATGATAAATTTACTCGTAATTTCACTTAAATTAACCATTTCACTTATATTGCTTAGTAAATTTATTCGGTTGCTGCCAATACTGCTAAACTATTTATTAACACTGTGAAGTTAGTATTTGTCTTTTGGTTGAAGTAAATTTATTCGGTTGCTGTCAATTCTGCTAAACTGTGTATTCTTTAACACTGTGAAGTTAGTATTTGTCTTTGTTTTGTCTTTTGGTTGAAAGTTTGAAATATATGTGTCTTTGTTTTCACTATTTAAATATCATGTATGTTTATTTACTGATATTTGTATTTAATTATTTAGCAGACCGATAAGGTGGATGCTTTACGTCGGGTTTTTCTTGCACGACAGAGTTCACGCATCAGACGGCGTGCACGTGCTATTAAGTCTCCGTATACCCCAATAGTGCGAAGACACCGCAAGAAGAAGACCGACTCGCCTGTCATCCCTCAAGAGTCCACTCCTATCGTTGAAGAGGCCCCTATCATTCCTCGAGAGTCCCCTCCCACTGTTCAAGAGGCCACTGTCATCCCTCAAGAGTCCACTCCTATCGTTGAAGAGGCCCCTATCATTCCTCGAGAGTCCCCTCCCACCATTCAAGAGGCCACTGTCATCGTTAAAGAGGTCCCTCCCACCATTCAAGAGCCCGATTCACATGGCGTCATATGTAGGATTCTTGAGAAATCCTCTGACGTGCCGGACATGATGGATTCAAGTTGGCTCTCGTATGAGTTACCGGCCAGTACCATACCGGTATCTGAAGTGGAGAGGAAACAACTACCAGACACAATTCTGGATAACACCCTTTGGGCTAAGACCGCAGTTGATTTTTATCTACATGAGCGAAGCCAGGGGTGTTTCACTGACATATGCAAGCTCAATGATGATATATATTTGTTGCTTGATCGGTCTTGGTGGGGTATATTATTAGGGGTCGAAGACAATGGCTATTTCGATGGAGGGGTAAGTCTTATTTTTCTTATATTTTAATTTGATTATTTTTTTGTAAATTTATGTAAGTTACTAATATATGTCTTTTTTTGTAAAACAGCATATCGATGCGTGGGTGTCACGTCTTCTAATAATTAGGAAACTTAAGGAAAATAAAAGAAATACACGATATACAATTATGCCGACGTCTTTTAACGCCGTTCACTTGAAGAATCAACGAGATGAATCATTTGCGTTGGGCAATGGACAAGCTAAACATTATCCTGCATGGTGGGAGGTCGATAAGCTTAGTGTTTATTTTAGATTGAGTTTAAAGGTATTCATAAATAAGTGCGCAAATGAATGAATTATTACTTATGATTGCAGGTGTTTATCCCTGTTTTGGAACGTAACCATTGGCTTCTCGTCGAGCTTCAGATCCCATCCCTTAAGGCAATATTATATGACAGCATGATAAATTACATATCATTGGCTGATTTAAGAGATATTATTAAGGGATGGAGCTCTTATTTGGCTAAATTCTTGGATGCGATAAATTATTGGACTCGTTCTGGAAACAAGAAGCCAAAGAAGCTCAATATTACAGTTAGCAGAGACGAGACCGCACCACAACAAATGAAAGGACCCAGAGGGGATTGTGGTCCTCTCGTATGCTTGGCGTTGGACCGTTTGATCACAGGAAGTATAAAGTATCTACCTCCCACCGATATAGATAGAGCTGTAGTAGGCTTGTGGTTTCGACATTATATGGCTAGATCGATATATACGAGACGCTGCCTACCTGCATCCGCGTTATAAAAATGTCCATAAACAATTGGTATGTTTATAGGCTTGTGGTTTGAAAATGTTTGGTTAAGTACCTAGAATTCAATAATTTGTTGTTTGTAGGTTTTAGATGTGTAGAAAGTGTTGTTTGAGCAAATGTTTGGTTTATGCAGGTTAATCTCAGAAGTGAGCTGCGTGAAAATGATGTATGGATGCAAAAGTTGATTCAATAGTAGAAGTGTTATTTTCTCTAATAATTATTGCTTATTTTTTGATTGTTTAATTGATTTGTAAAAGGTTATTTGTAAAAGTTGATTTGTTTAATTGATGTTAACATAATTCTTATTTGTGCTTGTTTAATTGATTGAAATGTAATGGTTGATTTTGTTGATTTCAATCTGCATTATGTTGAAGGCAAAAAGTACTATCGCAATGCGAAATGAAAATTGCAATGAGAGAATCG